AGCCTCCTTCAGGTAATTATCACCATCAAAAAGCCTTGTGTTCCTTCTCCAAGCTAACTAGTTTATTCTTGAGTTCTTGTGTGTATGAGTGTATGATAGAATATCTTTGTATGTTTGAATCTCCAAATAAATTACAGTTCATTGGAAAGCTTTGTCTCTATCAGTCTATTCCCTAGCCACCTCTGTAAACATAGGATAAATGATCTAACTGAAGACTTGGACTTTAGTAATCCCCCAAATTCAAGTCCTTTACACTATTAAAGAGTGCCTGGGAGGATTCCTAATACAGCCATATAGTAGGGTTTCTTGAAAGACAAGAAGATGTAAAGGAAACCTGACCCATTCTTAAGAGTGCAGCAAACATTTAATTCATTGGGCATGAGTACAACACATAACCAGGTTAAGACTGGGCAAAGGCCTATCTAGTCTAGCATTCTGTTTGTTTTTCCCCCCAGGACTTCATTACACATCACTTTTAAGCTGTGATTAGGGGTAGGCAACCTTTCCCCTTTAAGGGCCGCGGGACTTCAGCTCCCAGAAGCCTCAGCCATGTTGGCCAATAGTCCCATGTTGGCCAATAGATCCTGGGATTCTGAGAGCTGAAGTCCCTCGGCCCTTAAAGGGGAAAGGTTGCCTACCCCTGGATTAGAACCTCCAACCTGTAGCTGCTCTGTCCCTCAAAGTGCCACTAGAGTGTCCTTTTTCATTGACAGAGGAAACCTGTCTATGTGCTCACATTTGCACTAGGCTCCAGGGGCAAAACTTTGCTGCCAGGGAAGTTGTGATATTGGCAGGCACATGGTGTCTCCTCTGCCCGTCTCCCCTTGTATTCCTAAGTAGGCTGATTGTTTTTATTTTTTCCTTCTCCTTCTCTTTCTAAAAAAGAACTTAAACCACAGTAGCACAGCTCCAGAGTTGTATGTAAAAATGAAAATAAATATAATTTTAAAAACCTGAAAAGTATGCTGTAAGACATGAGGCAGGTCTATGAAAAAGTCAGGAAGAGAGGATGATGGCATTTGCAATTGATATGTGTGATATTGGCTGCTCACAAAGAGGTATAGTTATTTTTTTTTATATAACAAGCGTGATTGCAGAAAAATGGGTCTCATGTGGTAATGTCCTCAGCTAGATTCCTATGGGAGGCCTGCAAGCAGAACAAAAATGGAATTGCATGCTTAATTTTTCTTCCATAGCAATCTGGTATTCAGAAGCTCAATACTTCTGATACTGGAGATAATACATGGACCTATAAACCAGCATCCATTAATACCATTATCTTCTACATATTTCTTTTTAAAAAGGAAATTATTTTTGTTACACACAAAGATTTAGGTACATAAAATAGAAAATATAACACAAATAAACCCCATAACACCCCAACAAAAAATACATAAGCACACATAAAATAATAACTACATATATGACTTCCTCCCCAACTGAAAACTTTCAACTCAAATTATATGACTTCCTACATAAAATACCCAGATTACACTTTTACTATAAACTCATATAACTATCTTTATAGTGTCTTAATATCTTCTTTAAAAAACCCAAACTGATGTGTTCCCCCATTGTAATTTCAAAAAATAATAATAAATATGTCCCATTTTTTTTTATTAAAGTTAACCAAATACTTTTCTTTCATTGACATCACTAATTTTCCATTTCAGAAAGCTCATACATCTTCATCAACTAATCTTCTTGTGTTGGAGTATTTTCTATGAATTTCTATAATCTTGTTCCATTTTCTTTCCCAAGTGTCTTTGGAGGTGGGGGGAGTCATATTTTAAGTTCTGTATTCTATTATTGATTTTTGACTAATATAAAATGTTTGTTTATATAACTTAATAAACAGATAATTAAAACATTTTCTTTCCCAAGTGTAAGATGTCCCCACATGATGTGAAAGGCTCCATTTTTTTTCAACCTTGACTACCCTACTGTTGTGTGCCTTCAAATCATTTTCAATTTATGGCAACCCTAAGTTTTCTTGGCATGTTTCTTCAGAGGGGGTTTGCCATTGCCTTCCCCTGAGACTGAGAGAGTGTGACTTGCCCAAAGTCACCCAGTGGGCTTACATGGCCAAACTGGGATTCAAATCCTAGTGTCCAGACTCATAGTCCAGCGCTCAAACCAATACACCATAAATATGGCTGGGGTAGTATCCTGAAGTAACATAAAAATGTATAATCACTTTCATAGAGGTATTACACACATGTATGCCACCAACAGGAGTCTGGTCAATATGTGCCATAAAAGATTTTAGGCTGATATTTTACAGTGGGGTTAGACTTTACATGTGAAGTTGTGGAATGATGGTGCTGCACAATCCTTGCACAATACCCAAATGTGTAGCCAAAATGTGCATGTTTATGTATACTTGCATGCAATATACATCTGAATGCACAATGGCACTGCATGAGGAACTCCATTTCTGCAACTTTGAACTGAGCATGGACAAAAAATATCCAACTATTTCATAAGGGAATCTACACATGTGTAAGACATTAACTGGATCATGGCCGTAGAATCTGATCCTATGCTATTAATTTCTTAAAAAATGTCTGTATTGAAGAGCATTTCAACTAAACTTTTCCCTGTACTAAATTCATGCATTAAAGATAAGAAAAGAAAAGGCCAAGATGTGTTACAACAGATCTCTTACCATAGGAATTATAACCCTGACATATCTCTTGTTTTCTTTTTCACAGAGGGAAAACAACACAGGATTTGTTTATTTAAATCCTTTTATATCAATGAAGAATTTATTTAGCAAAGGAGGAACCAATATGAAAGAGTGGATTAATGAATGAGCCCACAAGGATACAGTCTCCGAAGCCAAACAGAGGTGCTGCTGTCAATTTTGGAAAGATGCCATTGGAAGGTGCCTTTGTTTCAGGTCAGACCATTAATTCAGAATCTCCAGGGGCCTTTTCATATTACAGTTAAATGCTATGACTCCACTTTAACTACCATCCTATGATATCCTGCATCCTGTGACATTTTGAAATTTAGGGAGGAGCATTTGCAGTTCTCAGCCTGAAAACTCTAGTGTCTCACCAAACTACAAACTACAGAATTCCATGGCAATTAAAGTGGGACCATAATTCTATAATTTGTAGTGTGAAAAGATCTCAGGTATTGCTAGGAGAAAATCCTACTGAAATCCTGGAGAGCCTATGTTGCATATTGAAGTCACTTTAACTGTCCTGGCTCAGTGCTAGGGAATTATGGGAATTGTATTTTTTTTTTCTGGGACATTGAGCCTTCTCTGTCAGAGAGCTCTGGTGCCACAATAAACTACAGTTCCCATGATTCCTTAGCACTGAGTCAGGACAGTTAAAGTGGCCTCAAGCTGCATTATTTCTGGCAGACTGTAAAGGCCCAATATTGGGATAGACAGAGCTATGGTTTAAGGGCCCCTACAGACGGATGGCCATCGGTGATCCCAAGAAGCCGCAGATTAGAACCGAGGCTGCCCTATGCCTTGGCCCTGATCCATCCTTATGGAGCCTCTGAAAAGGAGTGCTAAAATAGCACTCCTTTCAGAGGAGCCAAAAGGGGTGCTGGAAGAGGTGCTGGGTGCCTCTTCTGCGCTCCTTCCAGCTCAGCGTGTCTGAATGCTGAGCTGGAAGGATGTCATCAGAGCGCCCGCCATGTGCAACGGCGGGCGCTCTGGTGACATCCTCAGGAAGGGGTTGGGGCGCCTGGCGTCCAGCTGCCCCTCCCCTTCCTGAGCTTGAAGATGGCGCTTTTCACCATCTGCATCCCCCCTAACTCTATAATATTAAGTAGCTTTTCCTAGATATGTACAATAACATCCAAAATCCACAAAACACTGATACCTTTATTGGGCTGACCAAAATGCACAAAATACATGTTGCAAACTTGTGAAGCTCCCCTGGCTCCTTCATCAGGCAAAATACAGGAGGGGAAAAATATGGCAATCACAAGCCAGTATTCTGTTAAGATGAAACTGTTCTCAGTTCAGGTGGCTACGTGGGCACACCAGGAAATAAAATTTTAGTTCCATTAGAAATAAAGTTTTCACTGTTTTGTGGATTTTGGATGTTATTATACTTTGCTCACCTTCGGTATAAATAAAGGAACCGAATAAAAACAGAATAGAATAAGTATCAATTACTACCCCCAAAATCATACAAACAAGAACATCAAAACAAAAGAATACTAATATTTTTATCATTCACATTCCCATGTGAATGTCCCAGCTTCCTTCTCCTAATCCCACTTTCCTCCTTTGTCCTTGGCTTACTTCAGTTGTTGCGAACTGAGTTCAAAGTTGCAAAAGTAATTTGCAATTAATTAAATTAGCAGGAGAAGAGGCGCTAGAATCTTGTCCTTCCCAGGAAGCTCTGGCAAAAGCAACCTGCTGTAGCCTCTCTTAGTTTGTGTGTTCTTGCTCATTAGTAACTATGCCATCACAACCACTGTCTGTTGTTGTTTGGCCAAATGCGTTCAATTTTTTACCTGTTAAATGTTGGAAGGTATGGAATATACTTCGCCTCTGAGTTGCCTTTGCATATCATGCATTAGAAGCATAAAGTGGATTGTCAGCTATGTACGTTGACCATAGATCCACATGCCTTCTGCTGCATTCATATTCAGTGGTCATATTCAGTGATGCAGCAAAGGGATGTGGTGGCTCAAGTGGTTAAGATCGGCAGGTTGACAGTTTGAGGTCCATGTGCTGTATGATGAGGTGAGCTCCCATTACTAGCCCCAGCTTCTGCCAACCTAGCAGTTCGAAACCATGTAAATGCAAGTAGATAAATAGGTACCACTTCTTAGTGGGAACGTAAACAGTATTCTGTGCTATCATGCTGGCCATATGATCACAGAGTAGTCTCTGACAACATTGGCTCTTTGGCTTAGAAACAGAGATGAGCACTGCTCCCTACGGTCGGACATGACTTGACAAACTTTTCAATGGGGAATACCTTTACCTTTGCCTACCTTTTATAGTGGTCAAATATGAGAGCTAGTGTGGCATAGTGGTTTGAGCATTTGACTACAACTCTGGAGACCAGGGTTCAATTCCCAGCTTGGCCATGAAAACCACAGGGAGACCTTGGGCAAGTCGCACTCTCTCAACCTCAAAGGAAGGCAATGGGAAACCTCCTTTGACCAAATCTTGCATTGAAAACCCTATGGAACCCTTAGGATTGCCATAAGTCAGAAATGACGTCAACAACAACACAACAACAATAGTGGTTAAGTAATGTACCTCCATTAGTGCACATTTACAGTATGCTGAAGCAATTAGGATTTCCTTCTCTCTGTGTGTGAGAGAGTGAGAACAAGAGATAGGTAAAGAGCACTAGCTTTAAAAAAAACAACCAATCCTCCAAAATATTTCTTTCAAAGATGTTGTATCTGTTTCTTTTAGAAAGAAGAACAAAAAATTACAAGGAAAAGACATTTTAAAGAGAGGTGCCAAAGTCTAATAGTTGATTCCTGTCTTTCTCATGGAGGTAAACTTTGATATTCCAAGATTTCGATACATAAACTTGCATTTAAAATCACCAACAGATAAAACTGCTTCACTTTGGAGGGAGCAGGTGTGAAGCAAGGCTGAAAACAATAACTTTGTTAGACTGTCCAAGCATTTCAAGGAAGTTTCTCAGCTTATACTCTGACCTCCTGCTGATTATTTTTAGAAATCAAAATGCATGTGTCTGCAAATAAGGTGCAAATGAATGAATGCAGTGTATTGTCTTAGCCCCCAAACCATTTAAACCAAACTGGGGGATAGGGGAAAGCTCAGGGACAAGCATCTATAAGAAACCTAAGCAACAAAGTATTGAAAAATTCACATATGTATATAATGTTTCACTAAGCATTTGAAGAACAAAGGAACACTGTCAGCCTGATGTAGAGGAATCCCAAGGGGCATGTAAATTCCCATTTAGATACTCTCCTCTCTCAGGAACACAGAAATGTGCCTTATATCAGCAGAACGCATTTGTCTAGCTTCAGAGGCAATATTTTTCAGAACAAGGGTTATATTCTCTCAAGGAAAAGTGGTTGGAGATGCATCTTAGGTGCCCTCAGAGGTCCAAAGTGAAAGTGAGTGACACCATTCCATCAAGAACATGAAGTACCTCCTTTTTGAGCACATCTAACACTCTTAAAGGAAGCAGGGGGCTTTCAAGCACCTTGCAGGCCTCAGATCCTTGGCTTGCTGACCTGCAATTTATGTCACTCTCTTCTACTACTGTGTCTACACATGAATGAAACATTCAGCAATTCCTGTCTTGCAGGATTACAGCTACCCAAGAGAGTAGAATCATTCCAATAGGTTTGTCAAGTCCATCACTTTTTAAAAACTATTGATGGCCCAAATGATTTCACCAGCTTCTTCTCACTTACATATCAATTTATTAAAAAGGCATCTTGGCCTTGCTCAATTTTATCTTGTATGAGGGGAATATTAAATAATTTTCTTTAAAAGTCAATTATTAATATCCTCCATCTATAAACCATGTCTCCATCCAGAAAGAGAATTGACATGCAGTCTAGACATTTTGAGAGGGGATTCACTTCATGAATATCAATAAACAGGTTATACCAAAGACTAAAGAGTAGGGGAATGATATTAATGAGAGAAGCAGCATTCAAGGGTTGATAGTGATAATACAATAATTAAATGTTCACCTTTCCTTTATCGTCTTTCTCCCTGCACCAGCAATTTTGTAAATTGACCACCAAATCTTTAACCAATTTTTCCATGGATCTTTGGAGTGAACATCAGTTGGTGCCAGATGAGAATCAAACACACGAAGCACATTTCCATAATAAAGCAATAGTTTCTTTGCCCCAGAGTTGGATGCAGAAATTGGTTTCACCTTCCCTTGAGCTGAGTTTGGCATGAGCTTTTCAACAAGCCATACTTGCCAATGGAAATCAACAGAAGTCTTTCAAAAATGCTAATTCTTTCTTAAAGCTGGGCCTGCATTTGAAAAGGAAATGTTAGATGAGTGTTTAATTGGAGGTCATATGCAAAAAACAAAATCAAAACCAACAAAAAACTTCATTGAAGCCCAACACACAGTCTAACATACACACATCCTGTCTGGCATATGACAAAGCTTGCTTCAGAAATCTCTTTGCATAAAACCATCATTTGTCAGAAAGCTTATGAGAGAAGACAGCTGAGTGTTTTCAGAGATTTTATTTGACAAACACTGAAGTCCTGGAGCCAACTAAAAGCAATGGCACCTGGGAACTCCCAGGTCAGTAGGGCAGGGACTCTACTTATGGGTTTTAATTTAAATTTTAAAGGCCCTATCCAAGGTCCCAAAACTATTTTTGGTATAAAGTTCAGATCCTTTTGATTTCAGACTAAAACATTGGGTGGATTCACTGCCCCACTGACCTGGAACCCATCAACTGCCACTGGTTGAAGGACCATAGGAAGTGCTACAAAGGCTGCTCAGAGAAGGAGGGTGAGATCCCTAGTGGGACCCTCAGCTTTATAATAGTGGGCCCATACTATGGCAGCAAAGAGCTCTACCATCATGAAGGTATTGTTAGCAGCTTCATTGGTGTTAAGAACTGAAACAGGACATCTGATATGTGTTATGCATTTTCACACCATTTTAACTGTCATGGCTCGATGGTATGGAATTCTGGGATTCTGTGAGATATTTAGCTTTCTCTGTCAGAGAGCTCTGGCATCACTACAAGTTCCCGGATTCCATGGAACTGAGCCATTCCATGCCAGTTAAAGTGACATCAAACAGCATTCTTTCTGCAGTGTAGATTAGATCTATGCCACCAGTCTGCATCTGGCTATGGTGCATAGCCAGATGCAGCCTTCTGCAATTTCCACCAGACATGGCTATTTAAGGCTGTTATTGCAGGAAAAGCATAAGTGCTGGTGGTAGTGGGGAAGCTTTGGATGTTGTAGAGGGTAGAAGAAATACCAGCATCTGCCCCCCCCCAAAAAAAAGACATGCATGGGCTCAAGGTAGACTCGTGTATGTCACTAATAGGATGCCAGCCAAAGGCTCCTTCTTGTGATTTTGGCCCTGTTGAAAAACCTACCTTGGCTCTTTATTTATTGGCATTGGCAAGAAATGTGCTTCTCTAATGGATAATGAAGGCGAGAGAAGGGGAGGAGTGTCAGATAAGATGATGAACAGAGCCAAAGGTAGCTTACATTAAAATTCTGCATTATTTATTAGCCAGCTGTAGCCACTGGCATTTTTATACCACATGAAGAATTCATTACTGTCAATTGTCTTATGTGATGATTTCCATTGGCAGACATCAAAACGGCTGCTAATTTGACTGGAAAATATTTAGACACATGGAAATGCAAGATTTAAAAAGACCAGAATTGAGATGAACAGTTCAAAATCTGAAAATAATGTGTGAGTAACTGTTATCTCAGCCAAATTCAGATTTGAAATAGAATTCATACAAAAACCAGTCCTGTAGCTAAGCATTGGGTTGTGGAAGACAATATATATGTCTGCCTCTCTCGTATTCTCTCATACACACACACAAACACACATCTCTAGTCCCTCTGCATATTCTTTATGTTCCCTCTAGAAAAAACAAAATGTGTTTCAGGTTCTATTTTTTACATTTGTCTAAGGTGTTCCATAAGTGTGTAAGAATGTAGTTAACTATCACCAAGTTGGTTTCAATGTATGGTGGCCTTATTTTAGAGAGACCTCCAAGATACCCTGTCATCCACAGGGCTGTTGAAATCCTGTAGACTTAGGGTTTTGGATGTCTTCGTTGAGTCAATCCACCTATAGTGTGGTCTTTTTCTTTTTCTACTGCCTTCTGTTTTACTGAGCATTATAATCTTTTCCATGGAGTCATATCTTCTCATTATATGGCCAAAGAAACACTCAGGCTGCATCTACACTGCAGTAATAATGCAGCTTGACACTGTTTTAGCTGCCATGATTCAATGCTACGGAATTCTAGGATCTGTACTTTGATGAGATATATAGCTTTTTCTAGCCGAGAGCTCTGGTGCCAAAGCAAACTACAAATCCCAGGATTCCAAAGCATTGAGCCATGGCAGTTAGAGTATTTTCAAACAGCATTAATTCTGCAGTGAAGATGCAGCCTCAGTTTAGTCATTTTGGCTTCTAGGGAGTGTTCAGGCTTGATTTGCTCTCAGACCCATTTGTTTGTCCTTTTGGTAGTCCATGGTATTTCCTTTGGTGTCGTTGCTGTTGTGTGCTTTCAAGTCTCCTTTGCCATTATGTTTCAAATGAGTTGATTCTCTTCCTGTCAGACAGTAAGAATATTTCTGAGCAAATAATTGTAGGTTACTGTGAACAACAGACATCACAGCAAGATATGTCTGAATAATATTTTTAAAGGATCAAAAGTGCTTTTTAATGAAACAAAATAACTGACTGTGAAACAGGGCAGCCCTTCAGCTGTAAGTTGTTGGACTAAACTCCAAGGAGCTTAGCATAGTGAATGTTAAGGAATTCTTGAAGTTGTAATACAACAACGTCTGGAAGGCTGCACAGTTCCCACCCTTGCTCCAAAGCTCTTTGAGCCTTAGAGATG